GGAGAGGCTTGGAAGAATCTCCTTTGCTTTTAATTCACTTGCTAGTTAGTAAAGCAAAGCTAAATCTTTGTAACAGGGACCTGCATTTGTGATCTTGATTGCATGCCAGGAAGCTTTGCTGTTATTACCTTGTCACTCGTTCTTAGAGGTGGCACCTAGTGAGAACCTGTCTCTGCAGTCTGCAGTCGCTTTTCTGGTGAGGATGCAGCTGTACTGTGGTGGAAAGTCAGAGGAGTATTATGCCCAAGATCCCTTTAGGCTGCTGCCCTGGATCTGCTAGAGGACAATCCTTTGATGGGGGAGGGGAGGTGTCTCAGTTTATCTTAGAGCTGTCTCTTGTTACCAGGGTTAAAAAACTTTTCTAAAATATGGTATAAGATTAAGCTTTCATTTACTAATACATAAACCTGTCTGTTCAGGTAAATACACAGTGAAATATCCCCATATCTATTCTTAGCATTGAGGCTACCTAGCTAAAAATAATAAATATATTTCTCCCTCTCACAGAGCTTCCAACCTAGTAAATTAGGGATGTGGAAGATGAGAAAAAATATGATTAAATACAGAGAAAGAGAAGAATGATAAAAGATGCTAGGTTAGAAAAACACAAATGAATCAGACTAACTTAAGTAAGTGTAGTTTTCTTTAAGATTAAGAAAAAGTAGCAGAACCTGACTTTTCTGGCTCCTGACTTGTTTTTTCCTTCTCTCTCAAGCCAGCCCTGGCCACGTCTTGCAGGATCTGCTTAAATTCTGGCACACTGTGTACCTTATAATATCCCAGGCTAGACAGATAGATCACTCTTACAGACTCCCATTTGTTGTTCTCCCATTTGTTGTCTCAGGTTTTTGGATAGGAATACTAAGTTGCAGAGACCAAAAAGAACAAAAAAAAAAAAAAAATAGAAAGGAAGATTATTGGCCAAATAAAAGAAAGACAAAGAACTAAACAATGGACTAGGAGAAAAAAAAATGGTTACAAATCAGTAGGTGTTTATTTCCCTGTTTTCAGTCGTTCATAGCAAGAGTTTCATTCTTTTTGCTAATATACTTACCACAAAATACAGCATTTGGTAACATTCAGTTATATAGTTATGATGATGCTTTCTCAAAACAAAAGCTGATTTGAATTAAAGCAAGAAATAAACTAATACTAAAATCAATGTGAGTGATTTATTCTAACCTGCAACACAGAATGAAAATCCAGAATTACATCTGGATTCAGAAGAGAATAAACAAAGACAAGGTGAAGCTGTCATAACTCCTTTTTAATCCTATTTCTGCCTGTCCCTACATCTCTGCTTTTTTTCCAGCTCTCCCTGTACAGAGAATTTGGTTGCAGGCTTGGTTTCTGGGACACCAACATAGTTGGAATGCAAGAAGTGTGTCAGCAATCACTGTGAAGGGAAGCAGGAGAAAATGGAATTAGCCAGAGCAGAGCAAAAAGTCAAGCTGGGATACATGTCCATGCAGGTCCTGGCAGCAAACTTCAGATCAAGTATTACCCATCAAGGTGGAAGCTGGCCTTGCATTGCTCAGGCACTGAGTTTGATAGCAGATAGGAAGGTGTCCCTGGCTCCCTGGAGCTGAGCAGGGCTGATGAGGGACTGACTGCAATCCTCACAAGTGGCAACAAGTATTTCCTCAGAAAGGCTCTGTGGCATGTCTCATGCCTACCAGCCTCTAGCTGTCTTCTCCTCAAGGTCATTCTTTGTCTGGCCACTTCACAATTGAGACTTAGAAGGTAAGAATGCCCTTTCCCACTTGTGTGTTCTCCCAAGAGACTGAGCAATTAAGAACTAGGCTCCCAGATCACCATCACTGTAGGAAGTGTTTCATCCAGTTACATCCAGTAACTCTAGGAAGAGACTTGATTGGTTTTCAGACAGGACAAATCTTAAGAAAAAATGAACAATTTTTATAGTAAAGCTTTGAAAGAATGAAAAGATTCCAGTGAGAAGAAACAATAGAATATTAGAAAACAGAATACTGAAGAAATCTATGGAATATCTGTTCTGTACTCCCATGAGGAGGACAAAACAATTTTAAAAAAATGTGTCCAACAGGCTATGTTGGCAACTTTGGTTTCTGCCTCAATTGTACCACTAATAAAGTGGGTGACATTGTTTAAGGCATTTAGATGTTCTGGGTTTCGTTTTTTAATATGTTAAAGAAGGGATTGAGATGAGATATCATTTTTGTTGTACTATTGCTTGAAATCTCTAAGAATATAGATAAAGTAGGACATGGAAATTAGACTTATGCTGGAAGAAATAAACTTCTGAATTCAGTTTTTCTGAGACCTACCCTTGATAGGACATGTCTTTTCTGTCCTTAGTCTATTATTTCATAGTAAGTCTTGACAGAGATTTTTAAAATTCTTATTATAAAATGCATTTCATGAGAAGAATGAAATAAAACGTAGCTCTTAAGGAGATAAAATCAGCCATAAAGTGAATACTTCAAACCATAAACTTCACTGAAGCCAGCCCTTTCAATTAGAGCTCATTTTAAGCATCCGTGATGTTTTCATCTTTTTCTCCGTCATCAGGATTTTTCATGGAGCAGGCATAAAGTCAGTAATGGATTAATAGCTCTGTGATTAATAGAAGAGTTGCAAAATCATCAATTTTAATCACTGTAGTTTATACACAGGAAATTGCACAATAATGGTAAATGAAGATAATTGCCACACCTTCTGTTTGCCCTATACTGACCAATTTTGTTGTATGATAGTAAAATATGTGCATAAATAAAGTTGATATAAACAAACATAAATGAGCTTTCTCTCTCAAGGAAATCCTTTAAAACAAATTAATTTTGCAGAGTAAAGAATTGGTTCATAGTTCATGTGGTTTTGAGTAATTATCTATTGGGATATTGTGACATAAAGTGCCAGTAGTTTCTACCCATATACAGTCACTTAAAGTTGGGAATAATATTTGAAATTACATTGTCTAACCTTGTTCATTTTTATGGATTATATATCTGAGCCCCTGAAAGATGAGGAGATGTGCCCAAAGCTCACAATCTTTAGAAGTAGAAACTGGACCCAAGATCAT